TTTAATTCTCTTTTTTTCTACAATTAGTCATCATTTTTATGGTCAAAATCTCATTTTTATACTCCAAGCATTCATTTATCACAGACTATTCCTCACATTCAGAACACCAAACCTATTTCAAGGTCTAAAGGCAGGAGGGCATACCACAGATAAGGAGCAAGGACAGGGAACATCTGCTGCGAGAAACATGAAAACGTTCAGCACAGGTAAGGAACTCTGAGAATTATGTTCAGAAGTAAAACTTAAACGAGCTATCCAATCATGTACCGTTTCTATGGGTGTACCGTTGCTATGGGTTTAGCCAATTATGTTAGAGCTTGCGGTAGTTGTAGAAGATATATAAAGTATGTAGTAAACAATAAAGTTTCCACTTCTTTTGCTTCTAACTTGATTATTGATCGTCGCTTGACCGTCTCTACCGCGACAGGTTTACAATGTCACTTCCGCCCGCTTACGCCATTACTAAGCGCTGTAACGCTATTGGCTATCTGGAGAGGGGTCCTACCTTTCCGTACAGCGCGACATCTTCCGACCGCCAAGCCCTAACTAGCAACATTTCCCCCCTCCCCATGCTTAACCCAAGAAACTAAAACACAGAAATTCTACAATATAAAAACTGTGTTAAAACTTCTATAAACGTAAGGCACATTGAACGACTCACAAATAAAAACAATCAAGAACAATGTTATAAAACAACTTCTCCATCAGTAACAATTCACAGGTGAAACAGGCCTCGTTGCTGGATCACCAGGGAAGTCACTCCCATAGCAGGACCGGCCACTCCCAGTCCAAACGGCGTCACCAGCATTACAGCCGTCAATATTTCTCCTTTTTGAAGTCTCTTGTTAACTTCTCTCCAACGATGGTCTTCTTCAGGATGGTACAGGACCTTGGGAACAACAAGAACTTACACACAAAAGTCAGTAACTTACACAGGGGATTACCCCCGAGTAATGGCAAACCCACATTCCCAATGCAGACAGAATCAGCCGTCTACAACCTCCACCGACTACACCGACCTTTCTACAAACAGCACTATCCCAATCTGTCAGCATGACACCGCTAAACACACACCTTAACCTCTAATTTCCTCTTCGCGGTGTGTCCCACAGACATTGGGTTGAGCTGATATCCGACAAATAATTAAAAGGGGCATCGAGGGCAACGCCCTCGCACAAGGAGGAATAGACATCGTAGCATAACCAGCAGGAACTTGTGAGATTTGGCTTCAACTGATCCAGTAACCTGAAAACTGCACCCACCACACACAGAGTGAGGTTCCATATTCAATTCACTTAAAGGGACCATTTGTTTAGTTAGCAAGGGACTGATTGAAACAAAGGTGAGGATCAGTCGATTTTCTCTTCCATACTCATCATTTTTGATTACATCATTAGAACTAATTACCGCACCACCCTTTACCTCCTGTTTTGTTTTGTTTTGTTTTGTTTTGTTTTGTTTTGTTTTGTTTATAATACAGAACAGCCCCCCCCTCTCTGTGCCAGATTCCCAGTATCCAAGACCCCAAGTTCTACACGAGATTCAAACAGGGGTTTACGGGAGCTAGGTCACAGAGTTTTGCTTGGAAGCAAGGGGGTCCTGGGTAACAGGCTTTTGTATTATCTTCTGATCTTCCCATCTTGCTAATCCCCATTCCCATGGCTGATCTTCATACAAACCACCAGATAGTATCACAAGCCCCAAAACTAAAATCACACAAAAACATCTCCAGGGATCACTTCTCCATTGTTTAAATACCACAGGTGCGGAACCTCTAGATGTACAGGAGGTGTTTGCCAGCTTAGCATCTTCTCTTGTTACCGCAACATGCAGATTACGGGAGCGTCTGATGATCTGATCCTGTGAATAAAAACTCACAACCGGGAGCGCCAGCACGGCCGATGGGGCCCGGCTGGCACACACCATCTTTATCTTCCTCCTAGCCGTGAGAGGGATTTTACGGACAGACGGAGGAAGCAAGCAGTCGATTCACTGTGAACGGTAAAGCAAGCTTCACTTTATTGCGAGAAAGCACACCTTATGTAAGCGCTCACTATAATTCTGCACACTAACCGTAAATCTATTGGATACATCTAAAAGGTGACATTATAATATCCCGGCCTCTTGTGGTATTTCGAGTATGTGACCACATCCTCCTCCTTCTTCTGGCTTGTTTTTCCCCAAAAGTTGTTTACCAGAACACTCAAGGCCGCTCTGTACCTCGGTTTCTTCCTTTGTTAGCACACCTGTCCTTTGTCAGCCTAACTGTGCCCCGAATCTCCTCCCTTGTCAGCGTAACTGTACCCTGGGGTTTGCCTTTGGTTACCTCAGGCGGCTGTAATCAGCTCCTGCACAGACCCATGGCCTTGCTCTGCAAGCCCTTCTCCAACAGGATTTGTCCCCCTGGCAGCTTCTCTTTAAATGGAATGGCGGAACGCTGGCTTTTGGCTCTATCTGACCCATTTCCTCTTCCTCTGAAGTTAAATCTCTTGCGAGCCACTCATCCCAGCTAGTATCTGACTCGGAGTCGGAACTCGACTGACTGCTTACTTCCGGGTTCCCGTACCGTTTTGTTTGACTAGGGCCCCGCCCACTTCCCTTACGGGCGGGCTGTTCCCTCCCCCTTGGCTGGCCCCGCCTTCTGTTCAGTGAGGTATTTGCCTTATAAGGGCATTATTTCGGATAGACGCTCTGATTGGCTCTCCGCCCCTCACACGCACACCTCTCCCCTTTCCGATCGCCTCCACCCCCCTTCTCCTTCTCATACTCCTCCCCCTTACTTCCGCCAAAAACCTCTTCACTCCGCCCTTCCACCATGTGCTCGGCGCCATCTTGGGGCGCATAAAGTGGCGGTCTAAACCAAACTTCCTCAAATTCACATTTCTCCGCAGCACCTCCAGCCTCCACGGCCAGCCCATACCAAAGATTTTACTCGTTTCTGTTCCTCCCTAAGATGGACAGAAATCGGAGATTGGGGGGTGCATCGCCCTCCCCTAGATCTTTAAGCACAAGAAAATCATCATTATCTGAGGAATGCAAAGTCTGCGTGGCCGCCCCATTTTCCACCCCTGGGGTGGCCAGCAAACAATTCGGTGCCGCCCTCCAAGTCTCCTGCTCTTCCATGTCCGTCTGCAAGGCCCGTACAACTTCTCCCCACAGCTTAAAGTTTTCCCCACAACCCGAGGACATCGCCTCCCCAGCTAATGCTTTAGGACATCTATCCCACACTTCTGGGTGGAGAATATCCACCAGACGGTCAATGACCCAAATTCGTAAAAGCCTCAAAACTGCAAGAGTAAAATCTTTGGGTTTACAATCAATACCCCACCACTTATGTAATAGCAACACGACCTTCACAAGGGCTTCCATCGTCCTTGTTGGTGCGGAAGCATCCTCCCTGCCGGGCTGGTCCTGACACTCCAGCCACCGTTCACCCAAATCCAAGCAAATTTCCCAGGTTTCAGCACCACTTGCGGCCTTTCAGAGGCATGGCAACCTGGTTCAGGAACGGCACGGCGACCAATCCCAGGCCGCTCGGGCCATCAGCTCACAAACACCAATGTGGTGGATGGCAAATGGCGTTTATTGATAACTAACACAGCATTAATAGCTTAGGTTTACAACGTCACTTCTGTCTGCTTACGTCATAACTAAGCGCTATAACGCTATTGGCTATCTGGAGAGGGGTCCTACCTTTCCGTACAGCGCGACATCTTCCGACCACCAAGCCCTAACTAGCAACCACCTGCCTTTCAGAAACCCGCTGACTGGGCCTGAGCATCTGCTTGTCCCTCATGTGTTGCATGATGGTGTTCAGGATGAGCTGCTCCATCAGCTACCTGGACACTGAAGTCCAGCTAACAAGCCTGTAATTTCCCAGATCATCCTTCCAGGCATTCTTATAGACGGGTGTCACATCGGCCAATTTCCACTCTGTCGAGACCTCCCCGCTCAGCTGGGACTGTTGGAAATGAGATAAAGTGGCTTGGCGAGCACCCAGCCAGCTCCACATGGTATCCCCCACCCAAAAGACACCTCCCAAGACACCTGGGCTAAAGTATTGTTCCTTCAAGTACAAGAGGTCCTACAGTAAACCCCCTTGTTTTCTCTGGGATTTGGTCACCAGAGAGATGCCCACCAGCCCCTGGACAGAAGAGCACACATCCTAATTAAAGGCAACATGTAAAAGCCCAAAACAACAAACGTCGAGATTCATTGGTGGCATCTGGCAAGTGACAAAGAGACAGCAGTTTTTGGTAACAATTCCTTGAAGGGAAAGCCAGGGTTGATAGGCATCCCCGCTGGAAGGCTGTTACAGAGGAGAGTGTTAAACAGCACCAACTGGCAGGTTTGGGCATCGTCTGGGAAATGGCAAACCCTGTCAAGGTACCGCAGAGCTCTCTGCAGCCAGGCCCCAGCGAGGGACTCCTGTGGGCTCACCTCTGACAACACAGTGCAATGGGCCACCAGTCCTGCCGACAGAAAACACCTTATGAGCAGCAGGTGCAGAGAGTACAGCGCCCTCAAACCCCCAAAGCAGCCAGGTCAGACACCCAGCATCTCCCCGCAGCACCTGCAGCCACGTCTGCAGCCCAGCCCTGCTGTCAGGAGTCCTCGCAGGCTGGGCGGTCAGCGCCTGTATGTGCGGGTGCTGATGTCACCATTTCCACGGTGACCCACCAAGGGTGTCCCAGCCCATATATGGAGGTGTGATGTCACAAAGGCCACTGTGCCCCACGGCAACAAGCCTATAACAAGGGTCGCTGGGTTCCAGCCGTGCGTCAGTGCGACCTGGGAGGTGAGGAGAGCAGGGGAGGGTAGGGGCTGGTAGGGGGCTGCTGAGGGAGGAGTGGGGGTTCCCACACCTTAGGGCGCTGGGGCTGTGCTGAGAGCTGACCCGTGACGCGCTTCTCCCGCATACCCAGACGAGGAGCATCTGGGAGAGACACCCCGGTGCTGCTGGGACAGAGACGCTCCCATAGCTCGTGTGCACTTGCACCATGTCTGAGAGGAGAGAGGAGGTGACCCCCGACTCGATGGAGCAGGGTGAGAACAAAGTTTCCCTCCCAAAGCACAGCAGAGGGGCTGTCGGGGGGTCAGCGTGGGGCCAAGTGCGGTGGCAGGGGGAGGCACTGCCTGCGATGCCCCTTCCTCACCACGGCCCCCAGCCCTGCCCCTCAGCCCCGCAGGGACAGAGCAGGGCCCTGGGGACAATCCCTCAGGGACGCTTCCCCCAGCCCCACAGAGGTGCTCATTCGCGCCGGCGTTTGCTCTCTCCCCTCCAGCGTGCATGCTGTGTGGCTGGGCAGCGTCAGATCCAGAAGTCTGTGGGCGCAAAATTAAGAAGCAAGGGCTCTGTGCCCATTTCTTTTGCTTGGTGAGTGCCCCAGGGCTCCCTCCAGGTAGCTGACAGCCACTCCTGGCCACAATCCCCTCATCAGCTCCTCTTCTCTTCTGCAGTTTTTTGCCAGCCAACTTCTTTACTGGCAGGATGAGCAACCAGGAATGCTGGGATTTGTCATGCAGGACATTCTCCACGCAGTCGAGTTGGCAGCACAGAAGGTGAGGACCTGACCATGTCAGGGAGATTTGTGTGAGAAGAGGTTTGGGGGACCTTAGCCCAGAGCCCAGGGAAGAAATCCCAGCCCCTCCAAGCAGCTCCGGGACAAAAGCCTTGCTCCCAGCAGCTCCACAGAGGCTCCAGCCCAGGAGCCTGGTGCGCCGGGCGGATCTGTGGGCTGTGGCCCAGCAGCGGCCACATCCTGTGCCCTGCCCGGAGGCGTGGGGCTGGCTGGGGAGGCCCTGAGGCTGCCGCTGACGGGGCTGCTCTGCTCTTTCCAGCGATGCTTCGTCTGTGGGAAGAACGGGGCCGCCATCACCTGCTGCCGGGAGGGCTGTGACCGCAGCTTCCACCTGCCCTGTGCCATCGAGGGTGAATGTGTTACCCAGTACTTTCCTCCACACAGGTAACTCCTGTCCACTCCTCACCCCCATCAGGGAAGGACCCAGCACTTCTCACCTCACCCATCCCTTCCCTCTGCCCCCCAGCTCCTTCTGCAGGGAGCACCGCCCAGAGCAGCAGGTCGAGGCGCTTCCAGAGGAGGACACCGAGTGCCTCATCTGCCTGGAGCCTGTGGGGGACAGAAAGTCCTTCCACACCTTGGTGTGCCCCGCCTGCAAACACGCCTGGTTCCACCGGGACTGCATCCAGGTAGAAGCTGTTCCCTCACCCCCGGACATGGCTGGAGCTGGGCAGCACCAGGGTCTAACCCCTTCTCCTTTTGTTTCTGCTGCAGGGCCAGGCTCGGTATACTGCGATTAGTTCCTTCAGTTGCCCTCACTGCAGAGACAATCATGACTTCACCTTTGATATGCTCGTCATGGGCATCCGAGTCCCTGTGAGGTTGGTGTCCTGCCGGCTCACAGCACAGGAGACTGTGAGCCCTGTGCCATGCCCGGGGCTGCCCCTCCAGTCCTGCCCCTCCCCTGTCCCAGCTGCCTGGGCTTCAGCTTCACGGAGGAGCTGGACACCGGGCAGGGGGGAGGAGCAGGGCTGCCCTGCATCAGCCTCATGCTGGGGCAGCAGTGTCTTATTTCCCTTCCTCCATCAGACCTCCCTCACAGGACAACGAACCACTCAACGAAGCACTAATTGAGATACACAGCCGCTGCGATGCCCGTGAGTGCCTGTGTCCTGGGGGCAGGGAGCACGCAGAGGAATGGGGGTAAGTTGCCAAAGCGGCACCCTGGTCTCTGCACGGGATCTCTGCCTCACCAAGAGCCCGGAGCAGAAGGACTGAGAACAGAAGCTGTGCTACACACCCCCGTGTGCTGCGGCCACTTTGTCCTCACAGCCATGAACCCTTTTATTCCTCAGGCACTGGGAACTGCTACTGTGCATCTCCTGTGCTGCCGAAGGCACCCACCGGCGCTGCTCCAATCTCCGGTCCAGCAGGAGCACCTGGGAGTGTGAGAATTGTGCCGGCCAGGGCAATGGTACGAGGAAAAGCACCTCCATGCCCCTGGGCTGGGTCCGGGGCCCAGGCAAGGCCTGGCAGCGGGTGCCCAGGCTGGGCTTGGCAGAGCCTCTCTGCCCCAGGAGGGCTGGGGGCACCGCTCTGGCCTCTCCACTGTGGCCTCTGGGCCCCTGACCTTCCTGCTTCCCCTTACAGCCTCCACTGAAAGCCCAGAGCTCGCTGGCTCTGGCACTGGTAGCAGGTCAGGATTGAGGCCATCCTACAGCTTGCCAGAACCAGAAAGCAGCAACCCCAGCACCAGCGGCCATGCAGCACTGGGGCTATCCCATGACTCCCCAGCATGTGAGGGCAGAGGCAGCTCCAGCTCACCTCTGCCCAAGCACACACAACTCCTCTCTCATGATGAACATTGTGCCCAGATGCCCTATAGCCGTCCCAGAACACACCAGGAGAGGAGCTGCGTGCCAGCACCAAGGGCTGAGAGCAGCACCCCCGGAGAGGAAGTGCTGGGTACGTCCCAGGGCTCCCCAGTGCTGGAGACCAGCAGCCCCAGCACAGGTAGCCAAGAGGCACGGGGTTCATTCCATGACCCCCCAGTACTTGAGGGCAGTAGCAGGTCCGGGTCATCTGGGCCCGAGCACACACGCCGCCGCTCCCGTGCTGAACGTTTGGCCCAGACGCCCTACAGCCGGCCCAGAACACGCCAGGAGAGGAGCCACGTGCCAGCACAAAGGGCTGAGAGCAGCACCCCTGGCCAGGCAGCGCTGGGGACGTCCCAGGGATCCCCAGTGCCAGAGAGCAGCAGCCCCAGCACCGCCAGCCAGGTGGCACTGGGGCCATCACATGACTCCCCAGCTCTCCGGGGAAGCAACAGGTCCAGCCGCCATGGGCCCATGCGGAGGAGGGACCAGGCCAGTGCTGATCGTCGGGCCCAAAACCCTTACAGCCGGCCCAGACGCTGAGGCGGGACCAGCCATGAGCCGTCCCCATGTCATGGCCCTGATACCCCTCCAGAAGAACAATAAGTTGTCTGTTAAGCTCTGCCCTGGGAGATTCCACGCACATTTGTCACCTTCCTCATCCTCTCCCTTTCTCTGGGGGCAGCGTTAGGGGCAGGGCCCAGAGGGTTTCTTCCCCCAGGGCCTGGCAGCTCCCTCCTTGCAGGCTGGCCTTGGCCGGCTGTACAGTGCCATGGGCGTGTGCTTCGGGCCTCGCTGGCCCCGCAGCCGGCTCAGTCTTCCCGGGGAAGGGTCACAGCGGGGGCAAAACTCCTCTTCTTTACAGGTTCCACTCAGTGTCACTATCAATTGTAATAAAAGAATAACAGTGATGGAAAGTACAATCAGCTGCTGTACCCTGTAACTGCTCACAACCCACCCGCTGACACCCAGCCCCTTCCCAGACAACGATCCCAAAAAAACGAGACCCCTCAATTGCAGTCCCAGATGCAGGAGAGAACCCCGTGCTTCTTAGCCGCCCCTCCTTGACACCCTCATCACGACGGTACAGGAGATGGGATATGCCGCTGGCGAAGTTGGGGCTCTGGCTCTGCCCCCTCCGAGACCTTGATCTGTGACATCAACCCCTGTAGGATCAGCATTCTTCTCATGGCAAATCCCGTATGGAATCAAAAACACAGCGCTAGTTGAGCTACTAAGGAGAAAATTTAATCTATCCCAGCTTAAACCAGGGCAGGCTCCACCCCTTACATTATACCATTTATATACCGTTTACATGATGCTCAGGTTTCCAACACTTTATAAGGAATCCCCGTCCCATTCCCTGCTCTCAAATGTGTCCCACAGATCTCATTCCCTTCGTCTGTGGGCCATCCCTCCAAAATGTGCAGTGAGATCATTTAGCCCATAACTTCGGCTTCCATCTCTCAGGACAGGCTTTGCAGGCAGGAGGGATGAGACGGAGTTGGGTCCGTCGGCGGAGCGGGTCACCTCGGGCTCAGCGGGACGATGGCGTGAAGTCTCTGCCACAGGTGGAGCAGGAGCCTCTGGCGTGGTCCCTACTCGCAGTCTACAGGGCAAAGGTGTCCATCTGCAGGGCGCTGCTGGGCACCAGGTTAACATCATACAGTTCCATCCATCAGCTCTTTTCACCTAATATCCAACCCTGCAGGCACACAGCGGACTTCCCCGGCCGTCTGCAACACCCACCAAGTGCACCCAGGTCCTTGGGCAAAAGAAATCCCACGCACGGGTTTATTTTAATGCAGTTTAACATGTTTGCCTTCTACATCTAGAGCACCTCTAAATATAACACACTGATCCAAGGTGCCAGAGGAATTTTAATACTTGAGGCCCCAAGATGCTAAACACTGGTTAAGAGAGCATTTTTAAATCTGCCAATCTAATTCCCTTCAGGGTTTAAGTAACTGTGAATGAACTGCTCATCCACCCTGGCTAACAGTTCTTGAGACAAAGAGGATTCATTTGGCTCCATCTTGATTAAAATACTGAGCTGAGTCAGCAGATCCTGTCCTGGAGGAACAGGCGACCCCAACCTGAACCCCTGTGCAGCCCCAAACTGCTGCTGCAGGTTCAGGGCCAGAAGCAAAACCAAAACAGAACAAAGAATAAGCTGACAAACTGCTGGATTTGGAGGCCTGGTAGCCCCCTCCCAAAACACACGTCCCAAGACACCTGGGCTAAAGGATTGTTCCTTCAAGTACAAGAGGTCCTACAGTAAACCCCCTTGTTTTCTCCGGGCTTTGGTCACCAGAGAGCTGCCCACCAGCCCCTGCAGAGAAGAGCACATCTCCTCCCGGGGGGGCAGCTCTCACTGCCACACTGCTGCCCAGGGAGGACAGGGGAGGAGAGTCAGGACAGCTGCAAAAAGTCCATGGGACTTCTCAAAGGGGAAAAAAAGGAAAGAGAAAATAACCAAGTTCTTTTTACCAGGCTGTCTGGGAAAACGTCCGTTCAAAACACGAGAGTGGGCGACGGAGAGTTAGGGAGAAAAGTTGGGATTCGACAACAGAGTTCAGACAGCTTGAAATCAGAATGAGAATGAACACCAGAAGGAGGAAGATCTATTGACAGATGAAAGGTTTTTAAATTTGAGTTTGGTTTTACTGAAAATTTTCTGCTAAATCGACTTTTAAGAAACAGTGCAATAAACAGGGTCATCGCCTGTGGGGGTTATTGATGAGGGAAAAAAAAAAAAAAAGAGTTATAATAGTATTGATTTGAGGTGAAATGGTAAAAAGTGACAATCAACAGAGGTTAGTCAGAGAGAAACCAGGAGGAGTCACACCAGTCACGGCAGGAGCCAAATCCTGGTCCCAGCTGGGGAAGGGAAGAAGCTCTAAGTGGGGTCCCCGATGCAAGCCGGTATTTATATCGTGCCTGACTTCTGAGCACAACCGCACCGGAAAATAACAGCAGTAACACCTTCACAACAGCCAGGAAGGAGTATTTGTCACTGGGTATTTCACCCACGCGCCATCGTTCAGCG